ATTTGCCCTAAAGTTATTAGATCTGTCTAGAATAAAAATAGCTATCAATGTTCCATTTGCCTATTTCAGCAAGATGGAAAAAGAAATGGATTTTTCTAAATTAGATACAGCTGTTTCTAGCACTCTAGTTAAATTTGAACATGAAAAAAGATTAAGAGAGCTATGTATTAATTTTATACATGCTATGAACAATATACATTTCTTTCCCATAACTTAAAAAAATTCTCTATTCTCATGAAACATATTTATCAGGGATATAAAAATGAACCCTTACCATCAGAGTCCCTAGCTCTACATATTCCATAGCAGTGGTGCAGAATTTTTGCAATTTTGCTAAAGCAGTTAAGCAAAATTCCTTCTCTGCTAATCATAATCATAATCATAATAAAAGAGCAGGAAGAAAGTGCCATAAAAGCAACTATATTCTATCAGAAAGCCAAATACACAACAAAAATTTATTTGGTTGCAAACATCTCTAAAGTTAAAAGGTCCAAACTCAAACTTGGGTAATGAGATGAATGGAGGTCTAAAATGTTTTAGTAACCATAAAACCAAGAGAAGAGAGCAGATGTACTTTTCCACTCAGATTTTCAAATCTCTAACAAGTTGACAGTTACAAATTCATTAAATGAAAACTCGAAGGCAAAGAATTAGTGAATAGCCACTTAAATTATGGATGTCAATCCTGTGCTTAAATTGTTGAAGTTTAAATACAAAATATCACATTATTTGCTGATAATGTTTAAAGGAATATAATCCAAAAAAATGTCTGAAGGACAAATGTTCTAGCTTGCCAAACAGAGGGCCAGATTACTAGCCAATCTTTATTTTAAAAGGAATTTACTTTTTATCCATTTGCAAGGCTCACAGCCACCCAGAAAAGCTTGAGTGATTAAAACAAAGGACAGCACTCTATTCATAAAACTAGATCTGAGTGTTACTTCTACACTCTCAGACAGGATAATCAAGTATATGCCTTTGAATGCATTAAGCAATATTTTAACTCATGCAAACATTTCTTTAGTATTAGCTGTTGGTCTAAAATAAGGCTTTTATTTTTAATAGCCTGTGACATAAATAATACATACAGGTACAACTGATGACCTTTTATTAGTTATTTAATACAGTCTCTTAAAAGCGTTCTTATGTTTAAAACTGTTTTTCTTTGGGGGAATCAGAGGAGGGTACTTTATTTTAGTTTTGTTAAAGGAGTTTTCTTCTCCAAATTTACTACTTCTAAAATGTCATTTTTAGTAATAATAGCTAATATATAAAGCACTGATTTTATGTCAGACACTGTTCTGGGTATCCTACATTTAGGAACTCATTTTATCCTCTAAACAACCCAAGAGGAATTGTTAACTTTTTTCTGAAAAAACACATGAGGAAACTAAAGCACTAAGAGGTAGTTTGCCTAAACTCAGACAACTAACTGGTCACTCACAGGAGGATCTGAACCTAGACAGTCTTATTCTAAAGTCTGTGTTCTTATCACTTTTCATCAATTTATTTAGTATATTACTTTGATCTCATGTTTTTTTAATTCTTAGAAAGTAGCTAACTTGCTGGTTAAAATGCAAAGAAAGCAAAATGTCCACTGTTTTATTTAAATCACTTTCCAATAACTTTACAGAGTTGCATACTTCTCTCTGTAATAAGAGCAGGCACAATTTGTCAACTGTGCTACTGTATTATTTAGAAGGTATATATAACAAGGACCTATAAGAAAAGTAACAATGTATTTAGAGTTGTCACGCAGACGTTCTAAGTGTAATTTATAAATATAACTTCCTCTTTGGCAGCATTTAGCAAACGTATTCGGCATTTGCATTTGAAGGTAGACATTCAAATCATCCTGGGGGCTTTCCCTCTCTGTTCTCCAGCCAGACTGCAGAAGACTGGAGGAAGGGGGGAAAGGGCAGTTACTCTAGGTCTGCAAAAATCACATATGGGAATATGTAGCACAAATAACAAATTATTCCCCCGAAGTATATACACACCATGGGATGCCGATGGCCTGTGCTCCTTTTCAGGGAAGTCCTAAGGCTGTATCATTTGTTCTGTCTCTCCTTATGTGTGTACTGAATGCCTTCCATGTATCTTCGTTTCAAAGAAATGTGAAGTTCAGGGAATTTATCTCAAGGAGGTATGTATAATACAATAATGGAGGCCACAGAGAGCAGAAACTTGCCACACTGAAGCAAGAGCAGGATTGTGGGAAGAATAAATTCAAATGTAGACCCCACTAACTACTAGCTGGAGAACCTTAGTGAGGTTATTTACACTCTGTGAGTATCATTTTTTTCATCTTTATAATGAAAAGGGTAATATTTGAAGGCTTATCAAGATTAAATAAATAGCCTATCTAAAGGGTCTATTAATGCCTGGTACCCAACAGTTACTAAAAGGTCAATTATCATTTTAATAGCAACTAATAAATTATGAATCTCAGTAAAAATAGTAACAAAAGAACTATAATAAATAACATACAAAAAGGGAGAAGAAATGTGTTAAAGAAAATAAGTATAATCAATTCACAGGAAAAAGGGTCAGTTTAAATTACAGCTTCAAGGATCATGAAGGAACTAGATGGTCATTAAAAGCAACAAAGAGAAGAGCACTACCAGGAAAAAAAGAACATTATAAAGAACACTTTGGAAGCCAGAGAAGCTTGGGACATTTGGAGCCTCAGGCAGAATTCTCTGAATTGAGGTCAAAGTTTAGGAAAAAAGTAATGACAGACCTAGACTATACGACCATCGTGAGGGCCCTGAATGACACTCATAGGCCTAATCTACAGGTTTAGTGTTGTCAATGTAAGGGAAGTAATAATAATGGTTTGCTTTTACATATGTATAAAAATTCATGAAATTTTGAAAAGTAATACCTGGTTAAAGAATTCATATCCATTTAAGGTTACTTAGTAATTTTTTTCCAATTGTATTCTAACAGCTAGAAGCTACTACTGAAATAGATTTATGAATAGAGACGAAACCATGAAATAATTGTAACTTCTGAACCTGGCCCTTTTTTGGTTTTTACATCAACCAGAACATGTATAAAAGACATACATCTATTAATATAAATGTTCAAAAGAGTTCACAATATAAAAAGTAAATGTACTTTTAATTAATTAGAATACAGGGTATTTGTAAAGATAATGCCTAAACAGCAACAAAAATATTTTATACACAACAAAGAAAAAAATAATTTTTCTTAGTAACTATTTCTATTGAAAATAAATTGTCTAGATATATTCCATATACTTTAAAAATTATGCTTTCAATTCAAGATTGAGTCAAAAGAAATGTAAAAACATACAGAAGGAAAATATTCAACTCCCAGAAAGAACTAGCACTAAAAAAGAATGAAAGCATCAAATATAAAAAAGGTAGATAAACTAACAAACTTATAATTACATATAACCAACAAACAGGAGAGATATTCTATGATGAAACTATATATTTTCCCACAGAAACTGGGAATCTGGCCTCAAAGATTTAAAAAAAAAGTCAACATCAATGTATCCCTGTTTGCTCAATTGATAATTTAAATCATTTAAGAAAATTTTCTCTTCAATTTGCTTTTCTCAAATCTGAAGTCCTTCACGAACTTAAAAAGTAAAAGAAAAATGTAACCTACCAAGATTAATAATTATGTAAATGTGACAAAATTAAAGCACAGTAATACTTTTAAATATCACTGCTGGTGCTGTAAACTTGAAATCAACCTGTTTTTAAAAATTTGACAACCAGATGATTTTATAGTTTTATTGGTACAGATGACTGGTTTTCCCCAATCTTTTAAAAAATGAGACCATATAACTGTCACTAATTTTTAAAGCCTCCCTCCTGTGATTCCCCCACATGTACACCATGTGCAATGCAAGGACTTCTGCATGCTGTATGCTTTAAAAAACACACACATATTTCCAAAAGATTAGCATGCAAATTAGACATATGTACTTCTCTAAAGACAGCATTTGACCTGCCTATCCATTTAAGGACTCCTAATAACCCAATAACTCCTTGGAGATATGAGAACCATTGGGTGGGAACTACTAATTGGGAAGTCAGTTTAGAAAGGATATAACCCATTCACATGTGTTTAGTTTCATAGCTTATGATAGGGCTCACACACCTATTCTGAAAAGTAGGCAGGGAAAGTATAAGAATTCTCATTTTCCAAATAAGATCAAAGTGTAGAGAGACCAAGGAAATGGGCCAAGGTTATATAGCTTAATTAACGGTGGAATTCCGTTAGATAGCAAGTCTTACTACTTATTACTAACTCAATGTTTTTTTTTTCCATTACAACTTATTTATCTGGTCAGGGAAGGGCAGTGTAATTATTTTCATAAAATCAGACTCACATATTTAACCAATAATTCAGAGAGAGAAACAAATATATTTTGATTTATACCTTTTTGGACCACCTAAAACCTTGGCTGGCTAAAGCCCTCCACAGTAATCATTTTTAGGGTATTAAAACAAAAAAGAAATGGCAAAATGAGCTAGCATATGCTAAATAGATAAGCCTACTTAGAAAACTGTTATGGAATAGGAAGACAATAGATTTCCAAATAGTGCAAAATTTGCACATTCTAATATTTTCAAACTTTCACTTTGTACTGTCACCTCTAAATGTATTGATCCATAAAACCCAACTGCCTGGTTAATTTCTTAATCCTCAGATCAGGTAGTTTCATTAAAACGCATTAACACAATTCACTAAGAGGTTAAGTATTCCAATCTTAAAACAATATATAAGATAATATGCAAAATGTGGGAAATAGTAACCAAACGTTACTAAAAGAACTAAAACCAAAAAGTCAAGGAATTGGAGACAGAACACAATGTCTTAAAGCACACCATTCAGGATTTTAAAAGACCTTTATGATACGTTTTTCATGTGTGATATTAAAATGTTTCTTTTTCCTGCCCCACTCTAAGGAAACATAAAAAAGCAAATGACAATAGTAATGAAAATAAAGCGCTTACAGGTTTGTATCTCAGTGCATCTCTGTAGGATCCAAACAAAGCAGCCTGTGCCCTAAGAAAGGCCCTAGCTACTCCATCCCCTGTAGCTGTAGACTGCTTCTTCAGTTTATTTTTCAGGGCCGAGACCTGCGTGACAGAGAGGAACAGTTAAATTAACACCTCAGAAATTGGTACAGCGAGGTACGAACCCAATCAGCAGGCAAACCACAGTGTCTGCAGGTCAGCCAAAAACTCATCCTCCTCCCTGATAGCTTATCTTTTTAACTGCAGAGAGCACCTGCTGGTCTGTTAATTGAAACGAAAGCAGGGGCCCATAGTAACGTGCTAATGCAAATTGGTTTATGCTCTCTTTTTTTTCCCAAGGCCTCTTGACATAAATAAGCTTTAATTATTTTACAGTAAACTGCTTGTGAGCCACTTTTCTGCAGACTTTTAGCAATTACAACATGTGTCTACTTGTTTTGAGATGAAGCCGGTTGGGTATCGTTCTATTTCTGCCACGTAAGGTTATTTGTTACAGGTCCTCCAGGATCACTTACCATTTAATTTTATTTTTGGAAGCCTCATCTTCATATGTAATTTCCTAGTCATTTGTTGAATAGTTTCCACCATTATGAGACAAAAAGAAGGGGGAGAAGTTGAAGTTATTGAGAACCTACCATGAGTAGAAAAGTGGATTCTGCAAATGTTATTCACCATCTCATCTAATCTTTCCAGTCTTCTAAGAAATGCACTTGCACTATCGTTTATGAATAGTAGAAACAGGGGCTCAGTGATGTGAATCAGTTTGCCCTCACTAGACAGCTAATACGTGGCTAATACATGACAAAACTGAGATTTCAACCCAGTCCTGTCCAGTTTTATCCATCATTGCCTTAGGAACCAGTAATCAGATTAAAATGATGATTTTAAATCAAAGAAAAATTTATTACATGGGAATTTGAATAAGTTTTCAAGGCACTTAAATTTGTTATTATGGTTCATACCTTTGCATCTTTTAATTTCAGGTTCTGTGTATTTTAGAGAATGCATATTATTTATGAACAACCTTACTTAGATGAATATTTTAGAAGTATAATTGTAAGATTATAAGTGATGTACACCCTTATTTTTAAGGGGAAGTGATGTGATGTTCCTGTGCATCTAATTCACTCAACCAATCCCTTTCACACATCATAGAAAACTATACTCTCTACACATAAACAATATTGCTGCCCATATATTCCTCATTGATGCTTTACATGGGAACATGAAGTCATGTAGAAACTCTTGTTTTCTTAAGAAAACAAAACCAATGGGACACATTGTGGATGGATTGTTCCCTTAAGAGAGCATTTTCTTACCCGTATGAAACTAACAGATAAGAAAATAATGTCATTTCCCCTTTACATACGTACACAAGGAAGGGTATTTTTTCTTTCTTTATGCAAGAAGCCCTGACTACTCCTGTAGATGATGACTGTAATTGAAGTGTCAACCTAATTAACAACTAAACTTTGAATAATGCTAATGAGAAATGAACACAGCATCAGAGGAAAGACCAGCTCTACAGGTGATAAACCTTCACAGTAGTGACATTTTCAAGTGTAAAGTCACAGTTACTGTGATCTGATCAAAGAAAGAGACCCCCATTGGGTCCAATTATAACCACAGTTTTGAAAAAATTACTGAGTTATGATGTTCATAATCTATGCAGAAAGGCCTTTGCTGGATAGGTCTTCTCCCCATAGCTGTGATCTTCTCAATTTATAATCCAAGCTCCATAGATTCAGATAAAAGTTTGGAGCCTAATTCATTTAGCCCACAAAGTGCATAAATCAGGAAGTTTTTATTATTAAAATCTAAACTCAGTAAATGCACATTTTTAGGTAACCCACATAGTCAAACAATAAATATAGCTAAACAATGCAAAAACAAATTTTATAACTTAATGTCTTTTGTTCTAAAGTCTGTAATAATGTTATTTTTTAAGCTTCAAATGCCTTTAAAGAAAATAAATAGGAATGAATAGCAATACATGTATTTAATAATTGTCTCCCCAAAAGGCGTATTATGGAAGGAATAGGTCTTTCCATGTATTATAAAAAGTAAATGGTTGGATTGTTTTTAAATTTTGCTTTCAAGGGGTGCCTGGGTGACTCAGTCAGTTAAGTATCCAACTCTTGATTTCATTTCAGGTCATGATCTCACTGTTCATGTGTTAGAGTCATACATCGGGCTCCACACTGATAGCATGGACCTTGCTTGGGATTCTCAGTCTCTTTCTCTCTCTCTCTGCCCCTTACCTGCACACACTTTCTCTCTCAAAATAAATAAACAAACAAATAAATAAATAAAGTAAGTAAGTAAAGTAAATATATAACAGCTTTTTATTTTTTTATTTTTGCCTTACTTACATCTTTGCAAAAGAAAATTCCTCAAAGTGTATTTTCTAGAAAACATTACACTGAAATTTCAGTTCTCTACACAGTCAGTATTCTTATGACAATCATAATGTACGCTTACAGAGAATGGAGGCAAGTCAAACCACGATTTAGCCTTCATGACCCAAGTCCTTTACTGCTTCAGTAAGCTAGTTAGGACATCTGTCACACTGCCACAAGCCCTTCCTAACCAAACCATAATTACGGGGTCTTCACCTCCAAAATTGGTCAATGTAGCTTCTGAGCCACCTCAGGAGCTCTCTAGAAAATAGGAACGAAAAAGAAAACACTTGTTCTATAACTGCACTGTCCAATATAGTAGCCATTAGGCACATAAGCACTTGAGATGTGACTAGTCCAAATTGGGTTTGCTGTGAGTGTAAAATATGCACTTGACTTTGAAGATATATTACCCCCCAATGTAAAATACCTCATTAATAATTTTTCATTGATTACATAATGAAACAATTATTTTGAATAGTTGACTAAATAAAATATATTAAAATTAATTTCACTTTTTTTTTTTTTTTTTACTTTTTAACATGGCTACCAGGAAGGTTAAAATTGTGTATGTGGGTCACATTTCTATTGAAAAGTGCTCTGGCATTAGTATCTAATTTCTTATAGATGTATGAGACTAGTTGCATGGTAAGCAATATGGTTTCATTTTTCCTTTGCCTACTTCTACACTATTTCAACCTTCATGAACTGCATAAAGAGGTTTCCCTTGACCTGCTCTAGGTGGGCTCCGTCAGTAAGTAGATGTGAGCCTGTTTCTGTTTTTCAGAGACCAAGAGGGCAGGTGAGTTAAGGGTTTCTGGATGCACAAATTACTGCTCAAAAGTAGCCTATAAAAATGAAATACTCTTTCAAATCAGTTTTAGATAGAAAGATACGAGTCTAATATGAAATGACTGTGTCAACCTTGTTGTTTCCCTGTCCTTTAGATCACTGGAGTAAATTATCACCCACTACCAATGCCCTCTGCAGTGCTAATTAGCTTTTAGCAGTTTTTATCTATAAAAACGGTGATGTCTCTTCTGTACTTTTTCAATATTTGGTCTGGAAAATAGCATTTTCTGCTTTAAATTCCAAGCTTCTAAGTTTATTTAGAAAATAAATGTACATCTTCCCCTGAAATCCTAAAGTTTATACTCATATATAACTCTGAACTCAGAAGAGCTTTTGGGACTTTAGTCATATGTCTGTTATCACATAATCCCATTATGTGACACTGAAAAAGTATCACTTGTTTTCTCTTTATATTCTTAAGAAAGTAAGCAAACCTCCCAAGGCTAAAGACTAGTTCGAAACTGACATCTGATTCTCTTATGACATTCTTCAATCTGTAAATAAATTATCTTTGTAAGTCTAATTAGGTATTATACTAGACTAAAAAAAAAGTTAAGCCGTGAAAAGAACTTCAGGAATAAACATCATTTCTTTGCTCTTATTAAATGTTTAGATTCCTTTCATACAGTGAGAATTCAGGCTTCTAAGGAGCCATCCACAAGACGAATTATAACCTGGGTTTGCCACAGCGGGAGTTCACTGCAACATGAATAATATTACCACCAATTCTCCACTTTTACCCTCATAACACTAAAGTGACTATGAATAAAAAGAGGGAATTACATGAGTAAACATAACAAACAGGTATAAATTAAAAGAGTGCAAGCCATGTGCACACAGTCTGAGTTATGAAGTAATTATGCCAATTGGGAGTTAGGAAGGGAGCGCATATTAAAGGAGCTGAGTTTTTCAGGGAAGTGACAGATTTTTCTCTTGACTTTTAGTTGTGTCCTTTCAGGAAACAGAAATTAACTCCTACACCTAGTAATTTTAATTTTGATTTTTAGGATCACAAAGATAAACATCAGGGTAAAGAACAGAAGGTAAAAGTAAATGTTCAGAAATTATATTTAGATAACCTACACAGCTCTGAAATGCCCCTCTGATGTTTTTAAATACCCACTTTTATGTAACTATGCTATACTAGAGAATCCACATAAATTTAGAAAAGTTAGAGCTTCAAGTAGTTACCTGCTTTAGAAAAAAGTTACAAAGACAAAATGTTTTATTCTCCATTAAAACATGCTATGGTTATCATATGAATCAGGTATTAAATCCCACACTTCCTTACTCTTTCTACTGTGCAGGTTTTTTTTTTTTTTAGAAACAAAATGAAACCTACCCTCTTAATATAATTTTCTAGCAAGCTTCTACTTGAGGATTAAAATAGTAACTTTTAACATTGATCAAATGAGAAGCATATGATATGCTTGCAGAGTGTCTCTGTGTATGCTTAAATTACCTCTCAAAACCTAGTTAATATGTTTTGAAAAAACATATAAAAAAACATAAAAAACCCTAAGGTCATTTATAACTATTTTCCTTTCAGAGGCCATTATAAAATTAAGACAGCCAAACTGCTCTTATCCCCGCCTCAAGCCCAGTATCTCTAATATCAATGCCATTTCCCTTCATCTAGTTAGGCAAAAAGGAATCTTGCAGGTCATCCTCAATACTTCACCCTTTCTCATCTCCCACATGCAATGCATCACCAAGCCCTTTCAGTTAAGACCTCTAATGAAGATTTCAAATCTGTCCCCTTTTCTCTAAATCCCTGCCACTATCAAGTTCAAGAAACTAGCATCTCTATCTAGACTAATGCAAAAGCTCTGTCAACTAATCTTCCTGCTT